CACTGCCAGACGGGGGGGGGGGAGCATGGGAGGGGCCTGAAGGGGGAACAGCGCTTGGAGCGTTCAAATGGGGCTCAGAAGACTCATCTATGCTGAGCCATGAGCCGACCCGGGCCAGCCACGTCTTCCTCCTCTAGGGCCGCTAGCGGCAGAGAGAACAGGGCTTCCCAGGGAGCACCAGGGTGAGGATCAGGGCCTCTCGGCCTCCTCCGGCATTTGGCCTGGCGCCTGCAGCCGGCACCACGGCTCTGCTTTGGGCAGGGAAACCCAGGTGCCAGGCAGCTGAGCCAGAAGCATTTGCTCCCAATTGTGGTTTTCGGCGTTCCTTGCTGACCAAGCAGCTCCTCTGTCTCGCCTCTCCCGGCTTCGGGCGTCCTGCCACGAGGGCCGCCTCCCCCCCCTCCGAGTGATCTCATGGGCTGAGCGCACGGGCCCAGCCTCAGCAGCAGGCGGGAAAAGGTGGCTTGGGGGGACTTCCAGCTCCGAAGAAGACTCTCGGACAATGCAGGAGCCATAGGTAGGGCCCAGGGAAGAGGGCAGTGTGTGCGTGGGGGGGGGGAGGATGTCACGCCAGCGTGGCTCGGCTCCTGCCAGACACCTTTCACTGCTGCACGCTTGCCCCCTTTTCAGATGGCAAAGCCAAGAGGAACAGAATGTACAATTTCAGCCGAGGCTTCCTTCACGTTCCCCCCACCCCAAACCTCTGTAAAGACAAATGCATGGCATTCAGCAGCCTCTGGCGTGGTCTGCCACAGAACCACTTCTCTTCTCTCCATACACAGATGCAGGTTGTGTCTGGGGATAGAGGTTTTTGCAATCCGTAAAAGCCGAAGCCAGCAGGAACTGTGTTGGCCTTCATGGAAACACAGGATTCTTGGTCATCTTCACAGCAATTGGTTAGACTAAAATAGCTGACCATCACCCCGACCTCCACCGCGCACACAGAGGGTTAATGGTAGCTCGCTTCCTCTGTGCTACTGACATACCGTTCAGCCTGGTTTAGGGGTTTATGGTGCATCACCAAACCATCATCTCCAAGCTTCCTCCGAGCAAGGCTGCACTGGCAAGGGGGTAGACTTGATGACCTTTGGGAGTCCCTTCCAGCTCTGTGATTATAAGCCACATGCCCAGTGGCTCGGGGATCCTGGGAAGAGCAGCTGAGCCAGCGTCTGGGAGGAGCTACGGCTGGGAGCCGCCGTGCTCGGAGAGACACGTGAAATGCCAGCAAGGCTGAACTCCTCCGCAAGATGTTGGGATCTGTCTGGGGTGAACACTCAGCTCCATTACCAGTCAGCAGCCCTGACCAGCAACTTGTTTTGCTAAAAGTTAACTGCCTGTGGGAGATGTGGAGCAACTTTTAAAGCTGGAACAGGGAAGGGCTGCTGTTGGTACCCTGTGAAAAGATGCCGATATTGGAGGCCCAAAGCCAGTGGCTTGTATCTGGTCCTGAGCTTTGTGTCGCTCGACTGACAGCCAGGCCCTGCAATTTAGCACCCTTCTGTCACCAGGGTGTCACCCGGAAATGTTTGGACTTCATCTCTAAATGCTGCCTCTGGCTGAACCAAGGATGCGGGCTTTGGAATTTTCCTCCTTTGGAAGAGGTCCCGATGCCAGACCTCATGGGCGTGGAAGGCCAAGAGGAGCTGGAAAGAACTGAGAACAAGGCCGTGAGCCAGGAGGGTCTTAATTCTTGTCCTTTTCAAGCTTGCGAAAAGAATTAAATCATTTCTGCCCTTCCGGGGGAGGATAGTTTGGGACAGAATTAGACAAGATTTCCAGTAAAATGGCTAATTTCAAGACCCATATTTAGTCCTTAATTGCACCTCATTGTCTCATTGTGGAACACAGTTCTGCTGAAGGCCCATTTTGAGTCAGGAGGGGTGGAGAGATCAGAATTGGGAATGAGCCCAGTCCTGTGTGCATAGCTCTGGATGGGGATTTCTCGCCCCTCCAGGCTGTTAATTACCATTCCACAGACACACACTGCTCCCCCCCCCACTTGGTCTCCTTTGTCTCTGGCTATTTAGAGCTTCTTCCCACACAGATACCCCAGTAATCACAGCTCATCAGGGAACACACAAAGGCATTGCAGCCCTATGTAGCCACTGAGGTTTGCCAGATTTACAAGACTGCCAAGGGCTCCATTGCTGCCTTGTCGTGGTGAAGGGGCGTGAGTAATTCAGAGAAGCTGTGGGCTATGCCATACAGGGACACCCAAGACGGACACGTCCTAGTGGAGAGTTTGGACTCAACGCAATCTACCTGGAGTAGGAACTGACAAGCCACTCCAGTATCTTTGCCAAAAAAAACCTCCATGGATGGAAACAAAAGGCTAAAAGATATGATGCTGGAAGTTGAGCCCCTCAGGTCAGAAGGTGTCCAACAGGCTACTGAGGAAGAGCAGAGGACAAGGACAAGTAGCTCCAGAGCTAATGAAGTGGCTGGGGCAAAGCCGAAAGGATGCTCAGCTGTGGATGTGCCTGGAAGTGAAAGGAAAGTCCGATGCTGCAAAAGAAATATTGCATAGGAACCTGGAATGTGAGATCTATGAACCTTGGGAAACTGGAGGTGGTCAAACAGGAGAGATGGCAAGAATAAACATTGACATCCTGGGTGCCAGTGAACTAAAATGGACGGGAATGGGCAAATTCAATTCAGACGATTATCATATCTATTATTCTGGGCAAGAATCCCATAGAAGGAATGGAGTAGCTTTTCATAGTCAACAAAAGAGTGGGAAAAGCTGTAGTGGGATACAATCTCAAAAATGAGAGAATAATTTCAATATGAATCCAAGGCAGACTTTCAACATCACAGTAATCCAAATTTATGCACCAACCACCGATGCTGAAGAGGCTGAAATTGACCAATTCTATGAAGACTTACAACACCTTCTAGAACTGACACCAAAGAAAGATGTTCTTCTCATTCTAGGGGACTGGAATGCTAAAGCAGGGAGTCAAGAGATAAAAGGAACAACAGGTAAGTTTGGACTCTTCGGTCCATTCGGTCTAACCCTAACCACCACCCCCCCAAACACACATGGTCTCCCCACATGCCCTGTTGGGCAACCGAGTCCTTGAACTCAGCCGGGGAAGAGAAGCCACAGAGCAACGGAAGACAGATGGGGTGGAGGTGGTGGTGGTGGGGGGGAGAGAGAACATTTCTGGTGCAGCCGAGGCGAGCAGACCTCGTTTGTCTCCTGCCTTCCATCCTGGCTGCTCTTCGCTCTTAATGGGAGCTGCAGACGAGGGGGTTTGATGGAAGGCGCGTCTCTGTTCTATGGCCTGGAACAAAGGTCAAGGAGGGGGAAACTTAAAGGAGTCGAACCACAGGACTGGGGGGGTGGTGGCAGCATGCGGCGGGGGGGGGGGGGGAGGGAACTGCGGTCACTCGGGGGGGAGCT